CCTGCCCTCCCCTCGCCCCCGCGGGCTTTGTGCTGCCTCTTCTCATCGCTAATGCAGACTTCCCTTTGTCGGAGTGCAGGGTGACTTGTGAGGAACTGCCTTGCCCGGAGTGTGGACTTGGGTGTTTTTTTTTGTGGCCTAGCAAGAAACGGTTTCCCAAGCTGTTGCCATCTTCTTGCCTGGATTCAGTCATTCCCAAAGGAGTGGAGGAATGCAGCTGATTAGTCCTTAACCACCCTCTGCTCCCACAGGCAGCACCAGAAGCTGGCTTCATCTTCTCCACTTTGGCACCTTGGGGGTGGGCCTCTCTTTGTTATCTGCCCTGGGTACCTTTTTAGTGGCACTATAGACCGAAGGACATGGAAGAAAAGGAGCGATGTGATAAATTCCAGCTGGTACCTTGAGACTAAGGGGATTCATATCTTTTGACTTTTTTTTTTTCCCTGTGGGGGCAGGGGAGAGGGGAGTATTAAATTTTTATGGGGTATGGGAATAGAGAGGAAAAATATGTTGCAGATCTTTATGTGGTTTTTAAAACAAGCCATCAGAGGCAATTACTGGATAAACTGAAGCACAAGAGGAGGGTTTGTGAGCTGGAAGCAGCACTAGCCTGCAAAAGAAAGGGGCAGCGGGCTGCTGTTGTGACTGTGGAGGAAGAAACTTCAGCCTCCTTCATTTCTCACCACCTCCTCTTCATCCACCCTACACAAAAATGAGTTGCGTGCCATGGAAAGGTGACAAGACCAAATCAGAATCACCAGAGCCACCCCAGCTACCACCACTGCATATTTACCATGAGAAGCAGCGTAGGGAGCTGTGTGCCCTCCATGCCCTCAACAATGTCTTCCAGGACAGCAATGCCTTCACTAGGGAAACCCTGCAGGAGATTTTTCAGAGGTAGGATACTCTCTGCATTGGCATTAGCTTCCCCTTGTTCTCTATTGCTTGGAGGAATTTTCAGATCTTATTTGGGGGGGAGAAATAGAGCAGAGGCGGGGTTCAGAGTATGCCACTGCTTTGAACTGAATGTAGCTGCTTCTTTACTCCCCCTTCCCCCCCGCCTTGCATAAATCTCTTTTTATTTGTTTCTTAAACGATTTTGGCTGCCAGTTTTGGGTCCAAGGGCTTTATTGCAGATGCTGTCATGTGGTTGGACTGCTGTCTTCTCTCCCCACCCACCTTAATGCATCTACCCGTCTTTCGTATTTTTGCCCCTGCCTCGTGTAATGGATTTTGAGATTGCCCTGGGAGAGTGAAGGTGGCAGGAATAACAAATGGATCATCATAAAAACTTCTTGATTTAGTACCACAACACTTCTAATTTATTTGGAATTCGGAGCTTTGCCAAATAAGTGACTCCTTATTGAAGCAGTCAAGTGAAGTTCTTCACATATTGTGTTTGGTTTTTTTCCATGCAGAGGCACCCTGTGTACTCTGTCAAACTGGATTTAATTTCAGTAGCTAGATCCCCATTTTCTGTGTCATTGCTAAATGTTTCCCAGCACCTTCAGATAATTAATAAAAACATTTTTTGAGTTTTGCTGGGATAAATGTGAATTATTAATGTGGCCTGTACAATAGCTCATACTTTACTAAATGTTTACTTTATGCTGTTTCAACTCTTTGTGGAAATTCTCCTGAGCATACCTTCGCAAGTTACGATGACCTTCCATTGGTGAAGCTAAGTAATCAAATAGGAAATGGGGTCTTCTCTGATAGTCAACCTGTGTGTGGTGTACTCATCGCACAGGTTACGCGCGATTACCCATTGCCCCAGTGTCTTGTGTTGTGATAGGTAGGAAATTGTGCTTGATGGCAGCAGTTATGGAGGTGCTGTTGGACAAGGCAGTTGTGCTACCCTGTGCTGATGAGCAGGAAGCTGCCATCCTGAAAATTGGCGGAGTTATGGAGCTAGTGCTTGACTTGTCAAACACATGCCTGTCTTTGGCAAAAGAAATGTGGTGATGGACAACAGCAAATATCAGATTGAAG